ATTTAGTTCTTTTAATTTACAATTTTAGGCCGTTTCCTGTAGTTTAAATTCTTAGCTGTCATTCGTCACCTTGTATTTAAAACAAAGTAACTATTACAAAGTCTATTTTGATGACTCATGACAGTAGCTGCATTTAAAATAAAGTATCATTTTTTTATTAATCTGTATGGCCTTACTCTTTGTAGCTGTTGGATCAGAAAGCACCAGCTAAGAGACTGATGCAAACTAACATTCACCCAGTTTTGGTCTTCCCTTGTTTTCACTCCTTCCTCTTCCCAGCTGGCTCCTCCTCTTCCATGTCTGGGAAGGTTTGAGAGAGAATTTATCTTTGTTTTTCTTTCGCCACTTCTCTGTTTCCCTTGCTCAGTTCATTTATTTCACTGTTTACCTTTCTCTGACTTCGTGCCTCAGCTCTGGATGCGTCTATCAGAGCGTGGAAGCTGCTGGAGGAGAGAGAAGCTGTTCTTACCCAGCATGATCTTTCTTAGCCACGCTGGCCTTGCCTGTCGCGCCGCAGCGACCTGTGTGTGGTTCCAAGGTCAGCACCAGGACAGCTTTGCCCTTCCCCTGGGCAGCAGAAACGTTTTCCAGCTGCACAGACACTCTGCCGTCCAGGTACGGACATTTTGGGCAGCGTGAGTCCAGTAATGACAGTGCTGCAGTACTTGCAGCCCCACGGCTTTGCACCGGCAGGAGAGCCTCCCCTGTGGGGGCCGCACGTGGTCCCGCAGCCGCGGCCTGGGCAGCCGCCCCGGGCGGGGAAGAGCAGCAGGAGCAAAGGGAGCAGGTGGGAGCCGTCCCTGCCCGCTCGCGGCCTCTTGCCTCCTTCAGCAAGTCATGGGAGTGGTGGGCAGGGAAGAGCCAGGGGATCAGGGTCCGTTCTAACCCACAACAACAGCCTCAAAGTGGGAGTTTGTTCAGTAGCCTTGTTCTGCAGCCTGTATGTTGTCTCCTTAAAAAAAAACAAACCCAAGAAAAACTGAAAAGCCAAGCAAACACTCAGACACAGCAGAAGCTGCCTTCACTTAAGGTCTGTGTCTGTTGCTACAAAGAAGTTCTGCCCGTTTGCTCCCAGTGAGGAAATTCGGAGGCTGCTGTCAAAACCAGCCCCATACACATGGCCTTTAGCCTGCAATGATAGATCAGAACATAGAACTGATGGACCAACGAGCTGCAGCCAGATTGTTCCTTAATAAAAGGAAGATAAACATTCTTCCTCACTCTGCTATAAATAATACACCTTTTTTTTTTTTTTTTTAAATTGGCGATACCCACATTTGCAGGCTGGGTTAGAAGCTGCTGCAGGGCTCGGTCCCGTTGTCATACTGAGAATTTATTATTTGGAAAGAAACTGGGCCTGGGACTGACGTTCCCCCCCCGTGTCAGATGTTTCCCTCTCGCTGGCTCATGGAGTCGGCAGTGGCAGTGGCCCGCAGCGGCTTTGCCTCACGGCTGGTTTCTGTGGTGTTTGAGGCTGGCCTGCCCGCGCTGGCCCCTCTGTCAGGGCTGTGGGCGTGCAGGAGCCAAGCACAAGCAGCCGCTGGTCCAGCAGCCAAGCCCTGGGCTGCACTTGAACTCACCACCCCCCTTCAGCTCATGTCGAAAGTCCTCACCATGCGTGCTTGGGCCCCGTGCAGATGGCTCCGCTGTCTTCCAGCAGCCAAAGTGCATGATATAAATACACTGGAGAACAGCTTGGGCTCCCACTTCTCTGTAATAGATCTTGGAGCTCTTTTTTTAGCCTGGATCCAGTACTGAGGTCTTGCTAGAAATGTCTAGTGTCAGGCGGTCTCACTGGGGGGGAGCCTTGGAAGGGTGAAAGTGTTAAAATGTGTGGGTTGAGACAAAGACAGTTTTAGAGGTTAAAGCAAAAGCTGCAGATGCAAACACGGCAGCCCAAGGCGTTCAGTCCCCACTTCCCACCAGCCCGCAGGTGTTCAGCCAGCCCCAGGACAGCTGGGCTCCACCACGCCCAACACTGACTTGGGAAGACAAAACCGACACCACTCGGAACTGCTTCCCCAGCTTTATATGCTGAACATGACCTCCCATGGTCTGGGAGAGCCCTTGGGCCAGCTGGGGCCAGCTGCCTCCTCGCCCAGCCTCTTGTGGGCCCCCAGCCTGGTCACTGGAGCAGGGGGTGAGGGGCAGAAGAGGCCTGGGCTCAGAGTGAGCTCTGCTGAGCAGCCACTGACCCACCTCTGAGCTGTCAGCGCTGCTTCCAGCACAGCTCCGAACCGCGGCCCAGAGCAGGGCAAGGGTTAGGGCCAGGGCTGCCCACTAGACCTGCGACAGACTGTTAGCCCCTCTCCCTGCCAAAGAGGAAGAGACAGGGAGTGAGGGAGAGAGGCTCACAGATGAGAAAACAAAAACAGCCTTAATGAGAAGAGAAATAAATGAAATTATACAAACCCGATATCAAACCAACCCCTTAATGACAATTAGTCACTATCACCACTGGTGCTGTGGAGCAGGCACTGGGGAAGTCCCAGCCTGGACTCAGTGGCAGGTGGAAATGGCTTCAGGAACATAGGGGTTGGAATCGAAGGCAGGATGGACAGAGTCCTCCTTGGACACTGGCCATTGGAGAACATGACCCTCGTGATCCCTCAGCTTTACGGTGAATATGACGAGTGTGGGATGGAATCCCTCAGTGGTCAGGTCAGGGTCACCTGTCCTGTCCTCTCCTCCCTGCAGGTGTGGTGGCCTTTTACTTTCTGCACCCCCACGTGGCACACAGGATTTAGCAGTGACCTTGGTCTGCACAGGAGCAAGCACCAGCAAGAGCCTTTCTGCACACCCCAGTCCTTGGCAGTGACTGTGCCCATCGAGCGCTGGCACTGCTGGGAGCAGACACTGACTGAAAATCTGCAGTCAGCTTCAGCAAGTGCAGCCAGTTCTGACTCTGAGCTGAAAAGTAAAATCGAGTTCTCCTCAGACCAGGACAGGGGTTACTATGAAGAGAAGTAACTCGACCCCAGCCCAAACCCGTGCAGGCAGAACAGGGCGCTGCCCCTCTGGCGTCGCCCCTCCCTGGGCAGCAGGACCCCAGGGGCGGTACCGGGGTGCTCAGGCCGTGGCCCCCGGGCGGCACCGGGCCCAGCGGGGAGCACAAACGCTTCTCTTCCCCCGGGACCCTGCAGGAACTGGGGAACAGACACCTCGAATGAAAACAGGAGGGTGCCATTTATAGATGTAAAATATTTTTATTTGTAAATGCTGATCTTCTAAATCTGTTTCCACAAATTCCAAAACCCATAACACTCTGTATACTTCAAAAAATTCTTTTTTTTTGTGTTGTTTTTGTCTTTTTTTTTGCCAACATTAGATACTATTATACAGAACAGAAAAAACTGTAAGACAAATACTGGTAGGATGTTGGAATATTGTACAAGAGAAGAAAAATATTCAAGAAACAATTTCATACAGCTATTTATCAAGAGAAAAATATATACAATTGATTTATTCTGTAAGATAAAAATACATCATGCCATATACATTACAAGTTCAGAACTGTATCACTGAATATACCAACAGCTTACAGTCCACTTTAATTGTGCACACAAAAGAAAAAACTTTTTTTTTTCTTTTTTTTTTTTATATTTAGCCTGTGAAGTGTCAGTACCAGAATTTTAAGTACAAAATAAAAAGCTAACCTGGTTCAAAATGCTGATTAAATTTCTACAAGCAAACACAAAACAGTGTTTATTTTTTTTTAAAGAAATGTAAACAAAAACAATCCATACAAACACATCTTTAAATTACATTTTCCAAACCCCTATTGCCAGAGTCCTGCAGCTGCAAGCACATTACATCTATTTTTTTTTCCTTTGTTTTCCTTTTAAGAAGGCTATCGCGTCAGACTCAGCTCCCACTACATGATTCTATGCTCTTTACAGGAGTTAACGTAGGCTGAACAGTCACCTAATCATCTTGTCTACTTTTGCCAAAGAAAAAAAAAAAAACCATGTCTGGCCTCTATTTTGGGTGGTTTTAGCAGTTATTCACAGTTATCACAAATTGTAAGCACGAAAAAACCTGACTTGAGAAATAGGGATGCAACAATATAATACAAATAAAATTAATCTAAATTACCCAAACATCTACAAAAGTCAGAGCTGTAATGTACACGCCCTTACCAGGCTTAAGGTTTACTTAAAAAAAAAAAAAAAAGAAAAGTTCTCATAAGACCACAGTTGAGGCTGCTTGAAACATAAAAACCCCTCTCTCTAAACTGAGATTTTGGTTACCCCGTAATTGTAATCGCAGGTCTGGTGATGCAGGAGATCATATTGTAACATCCCTATTGACATTTTATAATAAGCACCCGAACTGCTGCAGAGTCTGGTAGCATTTGGTCAATAACTATTTTTATACTGTATTTTTTTTTTTTTCTCAAAATATTTACACTTTTGTACAAAGTAACAGAGTTTGTTAGTTCTGCAGGTAACAGCAGCAGCTTGGCTTTCTTCTAACTTTCTTTTTAAAAATAGCTTCATTCACTTATTCAATAATAAATACAAAAAGGTTCTCTTATTTTACAGAAATCAAAAACTACAATAAACTGACTCATGGAATCAAGTATTTAAATGTATTTTAGTGCAAGTTATTTTTTCCCTTAGCTCTATCCCTAAGGAAGTCGTTTCAGTACATTCCTTGTTCAGTGGTGTCTACTTTATTTAAAATTTTTCTTTAATTAGAGGGCCTGCCCCTTTATCAAATAAGGCTGTGGCCAGCACTTTGGACTTCTCCCTTTCGCTGGTGATTTCAGTCTTACATTCATATGTGCCCACCTGCACTCCCGCAGGTCAGCCATCGGTTCTTTGCCCAAGTTAAACAGTTTCTCCTTAGTGAGCTCAAAAACAAAAGTGCTGGACCATTCTGTTAATTCAGTTTAACCTCCACGTGTCTGGAAAGTTAGCTTCGCATTTTGCCGGCTTGCTTCTGGTGCTTGGTTTTCTTTTTTTCTTTTTTTTTTTTTCCTTTTTTTTTTTTTTTTCCTTTTTAAATACTTGAGTAGAAATCTGTACTTCCAGAAGTGATTTGTTTTATTTCCCCATCCAAAAAGGCAACAATTTTCCGTCGACAAAACCAAAACGCGAATCACTTCTTCCTAGGGACAAGCAACCCTCAGAGACAGCAAGGAATGCATTCTAGTTCATCCACTTCCGGCAGTTTACAGCTCCACAGTGACATGGAATCTTGTGCTGGTCGTCTTCAAAGTCAAACTTGTAGTCGTAGCAAAGCTGGAAGGAGATGCAGGAGAGGGGTTATGAAGAGCTGGGGCCGAGCGCAGCCTTCCCCTTCCCCATGCCTACAGGTCAGACACAGGCTACGGGCTGCACTGCCAGCAGCTGGGCAGGGTAAAGAGGGAAGAGGGGAGGGGAAATGTCACTGTCCCCCCTCAGCACAGGCCAGTTGTGCTGCTGGCTGCAGAAACCCTGTGGGTGTCTAGAAATGAACTCAGGCAGCAACTGGTAAGTAAAGGCAAAGAGGAGAGCCCTACCTCCTCCCCTTTCTGGATTCTCCTGCTGGAGCTAATGATGATTTTGTGACCTCTCTCAAAAGTCACCACCTCAGCCACGCAGTTGGGTGCACACGAATGGTTGATATACCTACAAAAAAAAGAGTTTGGAAAAGATGACCTTTTAAGAAAATGCATCCCTTGAGGCAAATCTAAAGCAAACCTCGGAGTGACCTTAGCTTCAGGGGCGCACTGACTTTCCAGATATAATTACATTACTCTGTACTCGTTTCTTTACCTAGAAAACGTCAAAAAATCAAGCATTAAAATAAGAAATTCCATTCTTCCTCCATAGCTGCCATGAAACATTACCAAAGATGAGCCAAGGTCATGAAAAAGAAGACATTATTTCAGTGGAACAGTCCAAAGACTGAACGTGTCACAGCTCAGAGAATAAAAACCACTGAGAAAACCACGGATGTGGGTCCCTGCAGAACAGCCCCGGGGCAGGGGGAGGGGGGCTGGCCCCCCAGGACAAGGCCACAGGCCCCCCCAGAGCCACCCACCTGGCCGGCCCTCCCGTCAGCGTCGCGTCGATGACGTGGTCGTTGTCGATGCGGAACATGTACACGCCCCGGTTCTGGAAAACACGGGTGGGGAGAGAGACTGTGGGTGGGGGAGAGAGACTGTGGGTGGGGGAGAGAGACTGTGGGTTGGGGAGAGAGACTGTGGGTTCTGCACGGCTGCCAGGGGTGGAACCAGGGGAGGCAGACACGTGGGTCTGCTCCCCGTGCCCTGCAGCCAGGGTCTGGCATCGCCCACGGGCTCACGGGGACACTGCAAACCACAGGGTGCCCTGACCCTGCCCGGTCTGTGAGGGCACGGGCAGGTCAGGAACATGAATCCCTGGTGAGCTGCTCCTCCCCTCACAGCCTCTGCACTGCCTTTCACCTGGGACCTCAGAGTGCTTCACGGGCACATACTAACAGCTACAAGGCTGCCAAGTCAGACAAAGGGAGCTGCTTTCAATTTAAAGAAGTCCTCATTAAAAATTGAAGTCCTGACATCTTTGTCAGAGCTCCTCTCTCTTCGTCCTCCAGGACAGGGGATATTTATGTGACCCACCTGCCAGGGTGCCGTGAGATTTATTAAACATTTACATACTCTGATCCTTCGACAGGGAACACTGTAGACTTTGGCTACATTTTTAGCTTATTGCATTTATAGCACAGCAGAAAACAGATATCAGGAGACCTGAATTCATCAAGTAGAACACCAGCACTGGTTTGGTTGCATGAACGTTTGAAAGGGGAAGGGGAAAGATACATGTGAAAAAACACCACCCATACCTGAGATTCATAAAGCTTCTCTTTCCTGTTTGCCACCTCATTCCGGATAATGGTTCCGATATATTCAATGACCATAGTGTGCTTTTCAATGTCTCTAGCAGCATATAAGCCCAGGCCCTACGAAAAACACATTGTAATGAACCATTCTGTAAGCAGTTGACATTTCACAGAATCCTTCATCATGCCCCAAGACTGTTCCTGCAGAAAACCATGTGAAGAATGAACTACCCAGGGAGAGTGACACAGCCCAGGAAGGAACTGACGTTGTACAAGCTGAGGTGCAGAACCCAGCTTCACATCAGGATTTTAAGATGCATGAAAACATACTTGGCTTCTGTCTAGGCGAGAAAGCTCTTAAATCTGTGACTCTCTTAGATCTCTGACACCTGATAAAGATTATAAATCCACTGAAAAATGGAGCAGGCCTTACTAGAACGGAGGAACACTTAATAGGAACACAGCAGCACAGTTAATTCCAACCTAAAATAAACAACAACCGCGTTCATACGCAGCAAGGTTAATTACACAGCTTTTGGGAAACAGTCCGTGGACCAACAGAACTTTATAAAGCAACAGATTTTTTTATTATTATGGTTGCAAACAAGTGCAATTGAGTTCTTCATGCCAGTTACAAACCTCTCTACTCATCTTCGTCTGAGCATTTCAGACTTCCGCTCTATATGCATATTTTTATTATGTTTTACTAAGTTTTTGAGAAATATGCTAAAAAAAACCCCAAATCTTTACAGAAACTTTTTCCTGGATGACTGTAACAAATTAATTTTAAAGATATTTATGATAATTAGAAAGAAATCTCACTTAAGAGAATCTCTGGAAGTGATTTGCCACATAGAAATTGCAAATTTGGGGATGAGACTTGAAGGAATTTTGCAATAGCTTTAGTTCCAATTTTTAGCATAAATTATACACAAAATAGGTAAAACTATAAAACTGCTATATAAAATAGGTGTAACTAAAAGCCTGAGTCAGTTTTTCACTATCCATCTCCTAACACAGGAGCTGACCTGGATCCGAGAGCGAGCCAGGTAGACGTTGGACTTCCACTCGGTTTTCATTTTGCGGTACTGGGAGGACTTGGAATGGACGAACTGTTTGCTGTAGGGCGCATTCAGCTCGCCCGTGACTGTGCTCTGGAAGGACTTCGATGTGCTGGTGCTGTTCAAGGTGTGAGGCCTGCAGGAGTTGGGGATGTAACAGGAAAGAATACAAGAAAAACTGAAGATTTCTCCGAAAACAGCCAGGAAACCCATTAAAAACTCTTTCAGACGCACAGACACTGAAAGCCAGCTAGCATAGACAACGAAGCGGCGCCTCCGGCTCGGGCATGCACATACACAGCCAAGGACGACAGGGTTTGTAAGCAGCAGACGAAAGCACAAATAACCCTAAGCAGCCTATAAACCCTGGGCTGTACTATGTGAAATTAAAACAAAATACCTTAACACAAACCTCTTGACATGGGTACTCATTTTAGGCTCGGCACGGGCACAGCCCGTGGGGTTGATGGCAAGAGGGAGTTCCATGAGGGGGTTTCGGCCATAGCGGAAAGTATAGTTCTCACAGGCCTCAACCCCTGGCAGCTACAAAAAAACAGACAAAAAGACAAAAAAAATCCAAGGAATTACAGGTTAATCGTGTGTATTTACATGAAATATTTCCTACTCCACGCCCTCCTGTGCCCTTTCTCACACATTCATCCAGCAATCGGGGGGGATCCATGAGGAACTGGGATGTGGAGACTCACCGATTCGGCAATCCTGGCCACCGCAGAGACTGTCAAACCAAAGAGGTCTTCACCCTTCAAATAGCCAGGAAACAGCTGGAGCATTTCAGATTCCTTTCTAACAGTGGCAACGGGCTCCAAGATTTTATCCCACACACCTACACAACCATACAGGAAAGAGTTATGGCGAACAAAAAAATCAAGAAGTCTGTTGTACTGGTTCTAAAATGAACGCCCAAGGGCACCAGGGACTGGTGTACACAGCATGGAAGCCTTCAGTCCTCTGGCAACACCACAGACAGGTTCTCCTGAGGAAACCTGCCCAAAGCAGAACTTTCTGAAGATAAACTATATATTCTGTTTCTGTGGGTTGGTAACAGTCAGGGCAGTTCCCTGGCAGCGGCGTGACTGGTCCTGCAGCATGACAGGGTTAAGACCTGGAGCATCACAGGCCACGTGCACACTAATGCACTGGGTTCCTAAGACCTGCCCGTGTGCTCAGGGGTTTATGGTCTAATGGATTCTTCTTTGCCCTGCCACAGACATTGTCACCTGTCCCGAGAACAACGTGGTCAACTCAGCTCTCCTTGTAGTGCTTACTAACACCAGCAGAGCTGGCTGGTGACCAGTCATGGTACCTAACACGGTCACTTCTCACCAAAGGAGACCTACACTGAATTCCTACCATTTTAATTAATTTTCAATATTCAGTATTTGGTCTCCTCTGTGAACTTTTAACAAGTCATCTTATTTGCAACTTACATAATTTCTTCAGAAGTGTCCTCAGTCTTCATAGTGTGATATTAAAACTAGGTCCTGGAACCTCACTGTATGCATTACATTAGAACACTGTCTGCAATTTTTATTTAGAGCTTACTGTTCTCTACAACTACCTGAAAGGAGGTTGGAATGAGGTGGGTGTTGGTCTCTTCTTCCAAATAACTAATGATAGGACAAGATGAAAAGGGGTTAAGTTGTACCAGGGGAGGACTGGATATTAGGAAGAATTTCTTTCCTAAAAGAGTGGTGAGGCACAGGAATGTGCTGCCCAGGGAGCTGGTGGAGTCACCACTCCTGGAGGTGTTCAAAAAACGTGTAGGCATGGTACTTCAGGACATGGTTTAGTGGTCATGGCAATGTTGGGTTGATGGTTGGACTTGATGAACTTAGAGGTCTTTTCAACCTTAATGATTCCATGATTCTAACATTGGAAATATTTATCATACCACGAACAGCAAGCCCCCAAAAGTCACCATCTTAGCTGACAAAAATTACCTTTAGGCGTTGTGTCAGTAAGGACCAGATCTTCATGGCCTTGTTCCACCACCTTGATGACAAAGAGGGGAAGCCCGTCCTTCTCCTCAATGGAGCAGAGGTAGCGGCAGCGCCTGTTCGGGTACCTCATGCTCCAGTACAGGCGGCTGGCCTCGTAGCCCACGGGGAAGAGCGCTTTGGAGGAGTGGAAGGCCTGCATCTGCTGCGGGAGCAGCTGCCCCACCGCGTGGAAGATGAGGCTTCCCACGCGGAAGGTGTGGTCGCGCTCTCCTCGCTGCACGATGCTCGCGATCTGCCGCACCTCGTCGCGCTGAACGTACACCCTCCTGAAGACTGCAAAGTAACTCAGCTCCTGCTCGTGAGTTCCCTTTGGTTTGTGCATGGGGCAAAGCATGGTCTTGTCTTTAAAAAACATGCATTGTGCTTTAATGGCGCAGGTAAAGTGATAAATGTTGGTGCACCTTAACCTGTGACAGCCGCTGGTGGCACCCATTTTGTGACAGAACATGCATTTCATCTGCAAGCCTCTTCGCAGCGCTAGTTCCACGTTTATTAAGGCACCAGCTTGTGTCTCGTAGACTTCTGTAGACCAAAGAGCACAGTTCAAATGGACCCAAAGGTCTAAATCCAGGTTAAGAAGCCTTGCTGGTCCATCAGTTAATCCATCACCTTCCTCGTGACAGAAGCAACATTTCCTATAGTCTTTAGGCACGGGATCTGGTTTAAGGGTTGTGCCCAGTTTTTTAAGAAATTCGTCTATTTCCTCTTCACAAGGAGGTTTGAATGATCCTTTAGGAATCACAATCTGAATGCTCCACTTTTTCCATTTCATTCCTTTCCATTTCTTACTTGGAGGCCGACAGTCATCGAGACTGCTGTGTATTGCTTTTAACCTCGGCTTTAGTTTCACCGTTACCTTAAGCTCATCCGGTTTTGCCTCCACCTTGGCTGCCTCAAATGCAGGGGGGAACATGATGGGGGGGGATGATGGTGGAGAAATTTTTTCTTGTAGCTGAGGCAGACAGTGGACATCCAAAGTGGAGATGTTGTTGCTGTACTGATGGAATGCTTTAGGTGGCCTCTCCTTCATTGGTGACTGCGGCAAAGACGGAACTGATTCCTGCTAAATCAATACAAAAATGTGAAGAAAAAAACCCCAAACCATTAAGCATTAAATGTATCTTGAAAACACTGTGTCAGGTCAGTATGGAAAGGCCTCCTTGGAATGCCTAAAATCATGGTGCAGCAACAGAGAAAGATGGAAATTACCCGGAGCCCTGTTATGACAGCTTGTGCTGTCACACAAAAGTTCTCCCAGTCAATCTAGAACATGGGGCCCTTTAATAGAGAGGAGGAAACAAATAATCCTTTGTCCTTTTCTGAATGAAAAACTACTCAACTGCTCTAGACCAACTAACAGACAGATTTAGTTCTTAGGTATTTTTAGAATGCTGTGTTACAATACAAACTAAATCTTAAAATATGGGTCATAGAATTAATTTGAAGAGAAAGAATCTTGTTATTTGGTAGTAGGGGAAGATTTGCAATTAACACCACATATTTTCCCTGGAAACTAGTGAGGAGAAAATTCCCATAGGGCAGAGACTTGTTTTGGAGGGGAAAAAAAATAAAAAGGAGCACAAAGAACAACAAAGGGAGTTTAGATTAGAAAGTGCTTCATGTGGTTTGTATGCTTAATCTTGAAAGAGTAAATGAACTGATCAAGAGGCTGACCATAACATTTAATTAACCTAATTATGGACATGCTGCTGCACTTGTGCAGAAACGTTACCCTGTTTAGGTACTAGTGAAAATGAGCTACATGGGACACTAAACAGATGCACGTGCATTTATCTTTTCCTCCATTTTTTTTTTTCCATTCAATTTCTTCTGCAAAAATAAGTAGGATGCATTTGAAGGAGGGCTGCAAATTCTACAGTAAACAGAGGAATATGAGAAATCATTAATTAGGTAATGCTTGGAACATGTGGCTTGTTGTGTCTACTGGTTTAGGGGAAAAAAGGTACGTTTGAACTAGGAAGAGTAAAAACTAGTTCAAAGAAGTACTAAAAAAAAAATTATCTATGAGAAAATAAACTTAGCAGGATCATTTAGTCTTGAATGAAGCTTATTCCACTTTTGATGATTAAAACCAGTTAAAAATAATGAAGATAAATTTAAGTTATCTTCCTCTGAAACTGAGAGAACCTGGACACAGCAAGACGTGTCCCTTTTGTGAAGTGCTGACGTTCTCTAAGGTGTCACATACTCCTCACAGTGTAGGTAGAAAACTAAAACATACTCTTTAGGACTACCTGAGAAAAATCCCTGGTCCAATTAAACTGTCTTGTTCAACTTTAGTTGAACAAATTCTTAAAATGTCTTTCTCCAGTAAGTAGAACCTCTTTTTCCTCATCACTGTCAGTTAGCAGGCTCTTTACTACAGTTTTGGCAATTAATGCAGAGAAAATGCAGGATATAGCCCTTAAAGATCTAGCTGTGGTTTTGTACAATGCTCAGAGAACTTAAGTGACTACATTTTTGAGACTGCATCTTCAAAGCCTGTGAGGACAGCAAAAAGTGGCTACTGTTTTGCCATGCATCTGTCAGATACAAAGTTCTGCAAATACGAATTTTATTTCAGAATCTCAGTGTTTGAATATAGTGCAGTTCATTTATACACCTCTAAAGTGCCAACTTCCCCTTCTTCCCCTTTCTGTACACCAAAATATAGCTTCAATAATTTCTGCTCACTAGGGTCTACCAGCATTTGATACTTACTTTGTTCTCTGAGTTTTTTGCTTGCACAGCTGCTGAATAAAGAACAAAGCAGTTGTTGCTACAGAATACAATGTCCTTCATTTTATCAGAGCCTTCTTGGGAATCCTGGGAATCAAACATGGAAGATTATCAGAAGTGCATTTTAATGCCTTTTTTTCACATAATAAGAGTACCAAAACAAGTCTTTTGATCTGGCTAGAAACTCTTTATTTGTGGGACTTTTATGAGACAGTGAGCAACACTGCGATATAAATACTCCATTATTCGACATCTAACGATACCGCCACCTACAACCTTGTTCTTCAGCATTTCTTGCCTTTAGCAGAAGTTTAACAGTCAAAATAAAGCTTTCTATATCATGCACCCATCTGCTCTAAAGGCACACTTGAAACTAAAATCCACTCTTTCATCTTTAGATGGCAAAAGAACGTCTCATTTCAGCCTAATCAAAGACAAACTACACTGGTCTATCTACCGCTCCATCTGCAAGACACTACTGGGAATTCGGTGCTTTTCTGACTACATGAACCCACTACTTTTCTGTAAAAAATTTTGATTATAGACCTTTGTTACCTAATTATCCCAATCTCACTGACAGAACAATGGTACTTCTTGAATGAATGACACTTCCCAATGTAAATACAGGAGACTGAGACTGAAATCTGTCTGATTCTTGCTCAAAAAGAGTACAACTATTATTGCTCTTACAATACTTCCTGACACAGTAATATGGTGCCTCACAAATAAGCCACTTTGGAATTAAGGTCTCTGAAGTGGTCATGGAAGGAGATTTGCAGCAGAATTTAGGAAGCTGCCATATATGGGACCTGTTTTATGCAATCTCCTGAAATTTGTTTTATGTAAGTAACAAATTTGACATTTCTTATTTGTACTATAAATGTGCTGTGACCTCCCATCCTGAACTAGGACGAAGACAGAAGGGAGACCACAGCGAAGCCTGGAAGTGGTATCAGCTGGCATGACAAGCAGTGCTCTTTGTTGCCCCTGGTTCTCATTCACCATTACACGTAAGAAGCTACACTTGCAGGGCAGTACCTGTTTAAGGAAAGGCAGGTCTTTGAAGGACTTCCGCACACCACTGCCAAGAACCACAACTTTGCAGTGAGAGCACCACCGAGGTCTCAAGGCTGAGCCTTCTGCAATATTCTGACTGTGATCCTTATAGCCAGCTACACCTAGAAAACAGGCAAGTCTGTTAGAAGCTGTATTAGATTAACCCAATTTTATGAGAAGTCACAGTGTTCTTCAGTGGTCTAGAGGAGTAGCATCCTCCTGGATAGGGCAAACTTTTAACAACATCCTAATGGGGAGATTGTTTAAACTAGACCAAAACCAACTGTGCCAATAACAAAGCAAAAATACATTCCTGTGTAAGAAATGAATAACTAAACCAACATAGGAATACGTGCTTGACATGACAACTAGGTCAAGTTTTCCAGCATATGGACGACCTTTCTGAATCACAGACTGGTAGGAGTTGGAGAGGACCTCTGGACACCATCTAGTCCAATCCCTCTGCCAAAGCTGGTTCACTTAAAGCAGGCTGTAAAGGATCACTTCCAGGCAGGCTTTGAAACTCTCCAGAGAAGGAGACGCCACAACCTCTGGGCTGCCTGCTCTGGCAGCCTCACAGGATAGAATTTTTTCCTCATGTTCAGATGGAACCTCCTGTGTCCCAGTTTGTGCCCATTGCCCCTTGTCCTGCCACTGGGCACCACAGAAAAGAGTTTGGCCCCATCCTCTTGACCCCTTTAGATACTGGTAAGCATTGATAAGACCTCCTCTGTGTTCTCTTCACCAAGCTAAACAGACCCAGAATGATGGATTTAAAATCATATTGGAATAAAAAAAAAAAATGTTGGGAGCTACTGGAAGAAACACCTCACTGCCAGTGACATGGGTAACAGAAGGGAAAGGAGAGATGGATCAGACCTCTTCAGTTACTGTTAACAGCAGCAGCAGCTCCACGTGTACTGACCACGTAAGGAAAAGCATTATTTAGAACAAGAATCGATTATCTTATTCTAGGGCATGACTTTATGAGGCTGAGGTGCATTAACACTCAGTTAAAATTCTGGTACTGAAAACTTAGAAGAATTAATTCCCACTCACCATTGCTGTTTGCAGGAAATGGCACATTAGGCTGCTTCAGTCCGTACGACCCTACGATCCTGGCAGGTCCCATGGATCCTCCCTGAGGACCCTGAAGTAGTAAGTGATGCCTGTACTCCACAGGTGGGTTCACCCTGTGAGTGTTGGAGGCTGCCATGGAGGAGGGGACGTCTGGAGCGTTACTAACTTCGTAACTGTTGGGAATTCTGACGTGGAGCAGGTTGGAGAATGCTGCTACGACACTGCTGATATTCTAAGAAGAGTAACAAGAAGACACCATTGTTTTCATCAGATAGGCAGTTAAAAGAGCAGTAACAGAAATTAGCAGATTGCAACAGCTGCTTTGTTGTCCTGTGCTATAACCCCTCCAGCTTCACTATATATAGCATACATTAACTGCTGTTGCACTTCATAAATGTATTACAAGCTTATTTCTTTTACCTCAGCAGCGGTGGGATGTAGAGTAATTGCTACAGATATAAGGCCAGATTTAGGACCATTCTGGGATGGTCCAAGCTGAGAGGCAAAGAAGCCAGAACCAGGCAACACTCCTGAACCAGGTTCCGATTTTACGTAATTCCTTTTGGCTTCTGAACCTGAAAACAAAATGAAGCACACCAGGTTAATCCTACAAATGTAGGAAAGCAAAACAAAAAAAAGCCTTGTTGTAACTGTTTGTTCTGCTGCAGTCTCACCTTTTCCAGTACTGCTTGGTAGGATGGGAATGATTGGAGATGGTACAGGTTCTGGGTTCTCCTCCTTCACAACCGACAAGTCTGGATACCTACTGATTTCCATTCCCACCACGCTTTCAGGAGAGGAAGAAGGGACAAAGCTGTCAGGAGTGTCCCTGTCCTCACAGTGATCTTGAGCCCTGGAACAAAACCCAAAAAAGCTGTTTTGGAAATGACCTAAAACCCTTGGTAAGCCAAAGGTATAAGTCATTACAAGAAGCTGTAATGAACCTGCTTCTTGCTACAACTCATGGAACACAGTTACGTGGTAGGCCATTACTTCTGGGCATTTTATACTCCACTGCACACAGTAGTTTCTTGGGAAAAATAGAAGAAAAATGGAGGCTCTAACAAATCCCAGAACCGTCTGTTCCCCATGGGTCCATCTACCCGTGTCAAAAAGTAGTACTTAACATTTAAACTTTCTGACTTAATTGTCTTCACTGGTCCATCCCGCCTTGTCTACATAGAGGCTTCACTGCCTCAAAGACACCCAACTTTTGGTTAGGCAAGTGAAAGGCAGCAAAAGGAAAGATTTCACATGGTGAAAGAAACTGAGTAGAGCTGGGGAGTTTTCAGGATGAGTCTTGCACAGTACTGCTGACTGGTACAGCAGCCAGGTACTGTCATAGTGCAACAGTACCATGCTGCTCAAGAAAAAACCACCAATTTGTATAGTTTTTCTTCTGCTTTTAAGGGAGCAAGGTAATGAACTCTTAATAATTTAACAGAATCTAGAGTCTAGCAAAGGCAGAAGTCACCTCTTTCACTACTCATGGAATGCTCAGTTAACCAGGACAAATTATCCCATCACGTTCTCTCTACAGTGTGTGGCTGAGCACCACTGATTTCATTTCCTCACACCTTCACAGTCTCATCTCCTACTGAAAGATTAAAGAATTCACTCCGAATATGTTTTTGAAGATGTCACAGAAAACCCACCTCAACTCCTCCTGGTTGTTGTGAGGTGGTGTTGGAAGTGAAGCAGGAACATCCACAGTTTTAGGGCCCTGAGCCATTGCTCTCGCCAATAAATCTTCCTGTGGTCTGAAAGGCAGCTGGAACTGCTTCGGCCCCAGAGCTTTGGTAACTAAACCCAGAAACACACAGCACAGTGAGACACCTGCACAGCTCCTCCACCAATACACATTCTGTGTGTCAGGGTCTTGGTGGCTCCTGACACAGCCAAGGCATTGCAGCACATGGTAGCACCACCCTCCATCCACTTACTGCTCAAAAATTTCTGACCATTCATGATTAAGCTACATATTCACAAAAATCTTGCAAATTTTGAGCAAAAAGGGCTCAAAAAGGTTTTAAGTGTGTCTTCTGACAGTATGAAAAGATTTTTGTTTTACTTAAATAAAGAAAAAAACCACCAACTTTGTAACAACAATGGAAAAAGGGTAGGAGAAAAGGATTTTAATCACTGAACAGTCCTCATCAAGAGGCAGGATAAAGTTTTCTTCAACAAAAGCAATTCTGATAGACCAAATTACAAGCATCAGTAAATACATACTGACTACACACAAAGCCTACTGAGGATACATTTTAGGTAGAATGCTTTTGAGCTGACTCAACTAACTGATTAGTCATTTGTACTGGGCTTAAAAAATTGATTTTAAATTTTTCTTTTTAATTTCTTAAGAGCACTTCTAGCTGTCAACATGTTTTTGAAAGGGAACAGGGAAAAGGCTGTCATCTGACATTATACTGGTGTAAAATAAAGCTGGATAATAATTATTAAAACCTTAAAGACTCTAGGCCTACTGTTTTTATAAAAGAAGACTATAGCAACTGAAAAGCATTCCAGTTATCTATTTTGTAATTTGCTACAAACTCGACTCATTTGTTACAGAGACAATAGGTATTAGTCTTACCATCATGACCTCCTAACATACCAGCCTTGCCAGCAAGCTCCTCAGTGGTCGCGAAGCCGTTTACCAACTTCTGGCACGCCACGGGAGGTGGTGTGGGAGGGAGGGAAGCTGGGGGTGTCGGGGGATTGCTCAGATTATTCTGCTGAGTGAGATTAAGGAGCCATAAATCAGCCATGGGACACAGAGGCAGCACTGATAACCAACGGTAGTTAATTCTCAAGTATGTGACCAAATACATAAGAGTACTCATTATAAAAGACACAATGTTTTGCTTTTCTTATGTCAATGATATTACCAGAGAAGTAGCTTACGTGAGGAGTTTACATTACTGAAAGAAGCTATAGCTAAATTATTGACAGAAAAGCATGAAGGACATCTTTAGGAATGGTTTGGGACCCCCAACAAGTTCCTACAGTTAAAGCATAGGTCTGAATTTAAGATTGAGAGAGTTATTCCACAGACTCTCCACCACCATAAACAAGTCATCTTACTCAATTTTCACTAGAAGGGAAACTACCTCACATTTAGCACAGGATGAGCTTTCACTGGAGCAGTTGCCATGGAGAAGCAGATACCCTGCAAGTTCACACTCCAGGCTCCTGCCTGCCACCTTACTTCACTGCCCATATTTGAAATGAAAATTAGATGAGAACTTCCACTCCTGTTCCTGTTGCAGTCATGCCTACAAAGCTAATACTTGTTACTCACTTCTGACCACAGCAATGATTTCTGCTAGCTCACATTCTTAGCTTACATGCCATGTAAGGCTGGAGTAAAAAACACTGGTTTTTACGAAGTTATGGAAGTTTTTATAACAGGGTAGCCAAGCAGCAAATATTATTCTATTTGCTATCTTGCTGCCTTCCCAATATTGCCACTCTGGTCTCAGAGACCGAGTTTTAAATTCTGTGGGTTGTTAGCTCATCAACACACAGTCTGTTTTGTTCAGAGTTCTCAGGTTCTTAGTTAGGACTTAGTGAACAAATGAGGAAAGTCTATTTCCCATTTAATTCCCATTAAGAAATGCTTTAATGCTTTCAATGACTTTGCAAAGTACTGAAAATCCAGACTTTTCTGCTTCATAGAACTGTAATTACAAGTTTCACCATTCAGCATCCATTTGTAAAAGGAATACTTGTAGTTTTTAATTAGTTTACGACAGTTTCTAGAACTGATTTCCACTTTCAGAGAGTAAAACAATAGTGACAGTTTCACCACCACACCACCCATGTAGTCTAGCAACAGAAAATAGTTCTGCTCTGGTTGCAGAACAGGCAGGAACTCTAACCAACCAGTATTACTAATGTCATGAACTTTTCCCACAGAGAGTACACGATGGAAATCCAGATTAAATCCATACCTTGTAAATGAGCTGGGAGTAGTAATCTGAAGCCCCGTCAAGAGTAGCACTACCAAAACTTCCCACAAGTCGATTTCCACCATTTAGCTGGCTGCTGCCATAGGGAAGAAAGTGTGCAAAGCTCACTCCAATTATTGGTTCCATCAGAGGCAGAAGAGAAAGCTGCTATATTAAAAGAAAGAAAAGTCAGCAATCAATTTAAGTATTAACACAGAAGCATTGTGAATCTCCAGATATCAGTGGAGTGGTGCTCATTTAAAAACAATAATCAGAATTTACCCACTATCAGAAAACTCGGTCAGGCACAGGTCTCTCTGTTAAGGAAGTGGTCCCCTGTCCACAGGAGCTGCACTTCCACCTTCCTGCCAGTGCAGCCACAGGGGCTGCCAGAGCCAACAGGAACTCCATGGCTTTAAACTTCCTACTTTTATGAAAGTTTTCATTCCCTCCAGCATGTCCTCAAAATTCAACTTAATGATCAACCTCTTTTCCACCATGAGAAGCCCACTCTTTTGAGTGTCCTCGTGATGCATTAGCCAGCACCTGCACACCTACCTGTTTCAGCTGGATGAATGTATCAGTGTTAGGGTAAATAGCTTGCTTCTCTTCTTCCTCTTTTTTCCTTTTCTTGGACCGAGGAGCTGCCTTCTCCCCTGTCCTCTGAGTTCGCTTATTTCTCTGTTTCTTCGTTTCAGGTCCTACATCTGTTCTCTGAAGCTGGCTGTTACTACACCCAAATGCACCTTGCATCTGGTTCCCTGAAGTTTGCTGGTATAAAAAAAGGAAGTGAAGTAGAATTTTTGACATTTTAATGTACAGTTCACTCAAATCTACTGCAGAGTAGTCTAAAACACACACGGTATAATAAATGTCATTGCTAACAAACTGTGTTTTATGGTGTGCTTACTTTCCTGTCTCACTGGCAACTCTAACTGCTGTACTGGCCTTATACACAGAACTATGAGTTATCATTAACACCACTGACACCTAAAAACATCATTAAAAACTCACACACCAGAACATTTTCTTTTGAATACCCCTAAAATGAAGTTACATGTGCATGCAACCCTAGATTTTAATGAGAGCATAATGAAAGGCAGAGTTGGTTACAGAAAACAGGCGTGTCACTGAACAGAATACAAATGTATTTTGAGGTTAGAAAAAAAAAAACCAGTATTGTGAAACACTTCTAGAGTGCACCATTTGCTTAAATACTTTCTGGATACATTTCCAAAGCCATCCTTCACATAAAAGGCTAGTTGTGTAAAAGCAATCAGAATGGGACTTGGAAATGCAACAGATAGTGGCAAACCAAAAGAATGTACTATTTCTTTTTAACAGTTACTTTAAACAGTTCTACACACCCCTTGCCACAAGGACTCTCACCACTATTCCTGTCACGTACGTTTTAACTGTTCATCTTTAACACTTACTTAAGTTATCTGCTGCTCACAATTACCATTATTTTTATCAGTCTTTATTAACTTTGAATGTTTCAATTTTGTTTCAAGGATGTATTCAGAGTTTAGACAGTCCTAAACCTAAAGTGACTAGAGATTAAAGATTACAACAAAATGACCAAAAAAATCTAAGTGTAGTGTGTCCTACCTCCATAGAAAATTATTTTCTTCAGGACGGTTTCTAAGAACCTTATAAATTATTAAATCATATAGTGCCATTAATACAAAGAATTAATGCTCCCTTCCATTAAAGTAAAATTAATTAGAGAAATATTCTCTGAGACAGAAATCCAGCCACTTTAGGAGATTTAACAATTTCACACTTTTAATAAAAATCCCAGAGTATAGTCTCTACTAAAATTAGAAACAATATATGATTTTTGCAGGCAAAAACTGAGCACGGACTTGGTTCACTTGCAGAACACTCCAAATGGTGGAGATGAAAGGGTGTGAAGCCCAGCCCTGAGCCTCTGTGAAGACACACAGGTCACCTACACGTGACTAAGGGGGAGTCACAGAAGAGAGTAGCATATGGACATACCATATATATGCTGCACAGAAACATATTAGTAGGTTGTAAGAGTCATACTATAAAATCTTGCCTTAATCTTGGTAAATATGAGGAAGTGGCATTTTAAAAGATGATTATCTACAGAAAAAAAAAAAACTATTCTTTGCATTCTAATAATTTCTGAATACACTGACCTATGAAAACATATTAGAATTTGTTCTTTTTGTAATGCAGATGATTTACTCATGTAGAAAAGGCAGGAAGGGAGGTGAAAATTCCTTAAAGACGTTTATTCCACCTTTGTGTAGATAGTTTGTCTCCCCACCTTTTCATAATTGCCCACAGTAATGGCACAAACTAGCCTTTGATAGTCGGTGACCACTGTACAACAAAACCAGCAACAGGCTCACCATTCCTTCAGCTGGGCTCTGCTTCTCTGTTAACTTCTTATCCCCAGCAGCCTCCTCTTCCGTTCGGCCGCTGCTCTCTGATTTCTGATTAAGAAGAGATGAGGACTTCTTGTTTTTAAGCAGGTGTTTCAGCAATTCGTTCCCCGACTCCCCTTTCGCTGCTGGAACGCCAGCAGGTTGTGCTGGACTCTGAGCTGAAGAGGCAGGCTGTGGTGTAACCTTATCCTCCTCCACTTTAATACTGCTTGGGTTTTCTGGTTTAGGCTCATCTTGACCTGAGCACTGGTCAGCTTCTGCCTTTTCTAGTTTAACTTCTTGAATGCTGGTAGGTGTGTCTGTTTTGGTCTTTTCAGTCTCTGTACCTGCACCTGGCTGTTTCTGTGTCAGACTGCTGCTGGGGAGCTTACACTCCAGCTCTGGAGAGGCCTGGCTCTCTCCTGCGTTTGATGCTGATGGGCCTGTCAACTCCACTGACTCTTGTTCATCTGGATGACGTGAAAGTTCATTGGGGGTGTTGACTGTGGGGGTGGAGGTAGGATCAGAAATAGTTGGGGTTGATGGTGCAGTTATATCTGAATGTGGAGTTGACGGGGCTTTTATTGACTCGGCATCATCATCCTTTTTCTTTTTTCGCGTCCTTTTCTTTTTCCCTTTCTCTTCTGGGATTATGTCAGAATATAGCTGTATGAGAGACTGGCTTGACCCAGGGAAGCTTGTTGCCTGGGGCACGTTAGTGTCCGACCCACATGGGGCACCACTACTGAGCACTGTAGATGAAGGTACAGCAGAAGTAAATGGAGGCCTGACTTGGTTCTGCGTAAAAGTAGCCCCAGGGAGATTCCCATGGGTTTGTTTTACATTATGGAAATTAGGGGCTCCACCTGGAACAGCAGATGCATCAGGTCCAAAAGTTGCAGGTCCCACTGGCCTCCGGTCACTGCTTTGCATAAAATTTGTGGCAGGAGGCGAGGTCACAGAACCTTGTTGCAGAATTTGCCCCATTTGTTGTTGCTGTTGATTCTGTGGAGACTGCTGAAGAGGTCGCGGAGTTTGTATGAAATCACAGGGTAGATCAGAATTAAAGAAAGGTATCTGAGACAAGGAGGTTTTGTTATTCAGGTCGGGCCCTATCATACCGTGCTGTTCTAGCTCCATTCTCTGCTGCAGAGCCCTCTGCCGATCCACCTCCTGCATGAGCTGAATGCGTTGCCGCTCCTGTTGCTCTCGTAAACGCTCCTTCCTTTCCCGCTCTTGAAAACTTTCACTAAAAGGGTTATTGTCCTCAAACTCCACCCTTGGTGGTGGCCCTGACTGTGCAGTTGCATTTGGAGCAGGAACAGGAGCGGGCGTACCAGGAGTAATTGGCAACGGTGTCATTGGAGGCTGCATCCTTGCCGGGTTCATGGAAATATGGCTTGCGGGGGTGCTTGCAGGTTGCCATCCAGACAAATTTGGCATTCTGGTTGGGTTGGATTGCCCAGGGATTACCACGGCGTGTTGTTGATGCTGGAGCTGTGGTGCTACCATGGGGAAGTTTTGCTGATTCATTGCTGGTGATGTTCCTCCTGGAACCATCGGTGGCTGGGCCTGGACGCCGGGCATTATAGCATGGGGGGCCATTGCACACTGCTGCTGCTGCTTGATCCGGTACTCCTCGATCAGCTCCGCGTGCTCCTTCTGCTGCTTCCGGATCTGAAGGGTAAAAAAGCCATCAGTCATCTCTGACATGGGCTGTGCCAGCAGCAGGAAACATGTAACGCCATTAGAACTTCAGCAGACAATGAACCTCAGGCAACACCAGAATTTCTGCACAGTCTTGTTTCTCTCTATTTAAACGGCTAACTGGCCACTAGTTCATTAGAAACACTATCCATCCAAAAATTTTAGAAAAAAATAACAGTGCCTCAAAGTTCTAAGTACATACCTAGATTGCACCGTGCTGGAAAATATACAAACCTAAACCAAAAGCAATCCCTGTCCTACAGATCATGCTCGCACAGGTAACAACAGTTGGGAACAGACAGGAAGAAGGAAACAGTGAAATAAACAATCTTCACACATCAGGAAAAAAATTTAAAAGATACAATTGAAAAGTCTGCAGGAGAAGAGCGAGGTTGATTCCTATTTATTCACAGGCAGATCCTCAAACATCACACAGCAGATGAAAATGACAACTGCTGCTTGAAAATTTTAAATTTTAGGATGAAAATAAACTTAACTGGGACACTAAAATCTAAGCCTATTAGCTTATTTTTAAGGCAAGTAGGAGAAGCCAAAGGAAGGATATGATGGTGTCAGCCAGAGAAGAGTGAGCATTTCAGAAACACAACACATACCTAACTGCACTGGCTCTCTAAAAGAAAAAAAAAGCCTTGTAATTCACTAGTTAGTATCACAGACATGATGGAACATCTCTCTCTAACTTCTATTCATTAAATTATGATTTCCACAACTTCCATTTGCTGTTTGTACTGACAGAAAATAGTCCATAATATAATTAAAAATGTTTGATGTCACTCTCCTTTATCTGGGGCAAGGGACAAGCCAGAAAGCTGAGGGTAACAGAGATATTTCAGGACACATTCCAGAATGCAGGACAGATGCACCCAAAAGGCTATTTACACAGTAATCTCGGGTCCAAGATGATTTATGAGCTCTGGCTTGGCACTGACACTGCCAGATAAACAGTGCCACTGCATAAAGCCACCAACTGGATCCATCTGCACTGCACAGGGCAGTGCTCCAGGCCTCTTCCATGGGTACAAAGCACCAAACCTGTGCTGGGTCTGTATGCCTATACCACGAGGCATCCAAATCCTCCCAGGAGGCAGCACACCCTCCCCAGATCTGCAGTGGGGGCTCAGCCACGTGACTGTGCTTGGAACTAGTTGAGATCTCCAGGACCAGCACTGGCTACACCCAGCTGGACCTGAGCCGGCCTGCACAGATCAACCTGGTGATTTTAGCAGTGCAGGAGAGTGAGGCAGAGCTTATTAGCACAGGCACAGAGCCAGAGCCAAGCAGTCACACTGCCCTGGCCACAGAGACAATATGGTAGTGTCTGCATGGCTCTGTGCTGCAGCCAGTAACCCCATCAGACACCAGCGGCTCGCGCTGCACCAAGTCAGCACCAGTTTCTCCGTGCCTGGAACTGACAGGGATTTGAGAGCTCTTTTCTCTTGATTTACATGCAGAGACTTTGCCCTTTTCAAAAACTAGCAGAAACTTGATTAAAGAAAAATTACTTGATCTGATTGGAAAAAGTGAATTGCTTCAAATAGAAGGTCCTTAACAAAGTACTTTAATAAGACCTTATTTAAGCTGCTACTAGGTATGTAATAAAAGTGCTGTTTAGGATGTGGATGACTGGTCTAAATTGGTGGATGAAGGGGAGTGGAGGGCATTTATCAGCAGTATATGGAACACGTTTAAAAAAATAAATATAAAAGAATCTTAACTACAGGGCACTAAATGAATTTGCCAGCAATGTCATGATTAGCAGCTGTTACTTGAGCCTAACTTCACCATAAGACTAGACTGACATCTATCATAAAGACTGGTTAAAGCCCACTTTTTTTTTTTGCATTTATTATACCTGCCATTCATTGTGGAAGGAGAAAAAAAGGAGGAAGAAATGACATAAACATGATTTCTCTGCTCCATCCCGCTTCCACATAGTGAAAAGATGAGCCAAGTAATATTCCACCCAGTGTACACTTTGTCCTGAAGCAACACTTGAGCAAGAACTCAAGGGTCAGATACCACTTCGGAGTTCATTCCAAGCAGCCTGCTGCTGATTTTTTCCTCTCATTATTAATAAAGGGTAATTCTAAAGCATTTCGTGTTTAGCAGGTCTAGTCAATCCTGTCGATCATGCCAGATAACTTATGAGCAATGTCTCAAGGAACACAGTACTGTTGGCCAAGGCCTAGATTTATCAAAGCCATCACAGGTTTAACTTTCATCTCACTTACTATAATCACAGTTTTAAGATGTAGCAAGTGGAATTCCAATATAAAGAAGGAAAAACAAAATCTAGTGAAAAGTGGTTACGTGTTGAAACAAGGGCCCAGAGAGGCTGGGAATTCTCTACCATTGGAGACTTACAAAACTTGACTGGTAACACCTAACTTGCATATAACCAAGGGGTTCTGATTACATAAGGATACCTGAAGACGACCTGAGTTATGAGGTTCATTGAAGCCCTGCATGCTAAGACTTTCTCCTGAATCTTCCATTTATGCTTTTCATGGTGCCAGGCACTCTGTTGCAAGCTATTTTGCCAAGCAATTTCCCCTTTTCCAAGGACTAAAGTAACTTTTTGTCATAATGTTTGCCATAGCATATTCTTCTACAGCTCCAGTGTCACCAGCAATTCAGAATAATGCTGTTAAATGCACAAAATAGTATAGAGAGTGGCTCCCTTTAGATAAACTCCACTATATTTAAGCACTTAAACTTGCCTTTCAGAAGACCTAAAGTAAGCGTCATACGAGTACCACACGTTAGTATTAAGGTGATGGGTTTGGATTCCAAGTGATTACCTGGTCTAGCTGTTTTTGGACCATACTCTGCTGCTCAGTAACATGCTTCAGCTGCTCTGCATCTTCCTCTGGGAACTCACGGCCAGCTTTCTTGGCTGTACGCTGCTTTGCTGACAGTGCCTTTTTGGATTTCCTATGGGCTCCAATTTGCTCCTCAAGGTACTTCTGTTGCATTTGAAGAAGTTGCTGTGTATCTTGCAGCCATTCTTCATATTGCTTTCTCTGTGAATCATCTAGAGACAAAGGAAATTCAGTATGACATCAGCTCATCATCCTGGGTGCGGGCTCTCATCCTGCGGTTCAGAGATGAAGTTTAACAATCAGATTCCCCCTTATTTTAAGAAAACATTGGTCAAGTTCAGCTCAACTCGACAGAGGATTTAATCTCTCAAGAGATATTAAGTTCTTGGAGTGATTTGAATAAATGAGACAGAGATCCAAATTACTGCATCTATTGAGAGAAAGCAGTTTTAACATAGGCCACCAATTCCAAGAGACAACAGCCTGCTGTCTAGCCAGTGAACGTCTACTTGCTTAGCCAGCGAGCAAACGTAGCTTTCAAAGCAGCTACAGAACGTGGTGGCACCCTGCTCTGCCCTGAAGAGGGGACATGGAAGATATCTGGAAGTGCTCAGGTAGAGGG